GTGACGATGTAGAAGCGACAACAAATCCATCTTCATCGAGAAGATAGCAGCTGTAGGACTGTGAAGAGAATATCAAGTTAATAGAGATTTCAATCTACAATAGAAAGTTGTATCGAACTGATGAGCACTATTGTATAATCACTAAAAATATGCAATACTATTTATATTAACACCAAACGGTGCTAAATGGTATTCTTAATAATCTGCGAGAAACAATTCTATGAACTTACATCATTCTCCTTCTTGCATACTTCCTATCAAATAATAATAATTCGGCTTAGTACTYATAGTGAGTATTCAATTCAATTACCATCATTATCTTAATCATCAAGTTAGTTCAAAATGGGCGAATGGGAATGGTAATGGGAATGGTAACCACTAATGGAATCCCACATGGTGGCGTACTTACAGAGTTGTTAAGTAAGATCTCTTGTAGCGTATCGTCTTTCATTTGCATCCCAGCCACTAGAAAAAACAAACAGCATTGACACAAATCATTTATAAATGATTAATCTCAGGGTTGATGATTCACATGTGTAAAAATAGAACCAAACTTGTTTTCATATTTTGCACGTGCTATTGACTATGCACAATTCTACAAGAACGTCCATATTACCTCCTGCAAGAACTTCGTTCACAATGATAGGAATACTTGCTGTAATTACACTGTCAGCTTTGCTTTTACTATCTAATAAAACAAGAAGTAGTGATTTAATTAAACTCATAATCGCTTTGACTACGCACTCCTTATTGTGGTTACTCCGTTACGRCCTAATCCACTATGTCGTCGCAATGTAAGCAAGCAAGAAATATGTAWCACTCGACTTATACGCGACTTTTTTCCGAAAACAGTTCGATCATTTCACGATCGATATAGCAGCGGAAAGGCCGAATGTTTTGGAGTAACCACGTGGGCTCTAAGAGCGACTTTAATTATATAATGTCCTGAAGCACGCCTTTTTSATTAAGGTTACTGTAACCCTTCGCGGCGTCTTTTCGTTGAAAAATCACTGTCGCATTGGATCTAGCGCTTTTATAAAGTATTACATGCCATATGAAAGCTGAATAATCAGAGAATATGTCTATATAATTGTTATAACAATATTCCTTATTCAAAACACGTTTGAGGTTAATCTAGGATGGCGTACACTCAAAACACAATGCCTCTAATTAACATTTAGACTTCGGACTACCAGCTGATGTGGGATTTGGAATAGTCCAATATCAACACGATTGAGAAATATACCTTTGTCTTTATGAGTAGTGAATACAACCACTGAACCAGTTTGGTTTTGGTTGAAATCAGATGCTCGCTGATAAAAAGGCTCGTTGGTCACGTCGTTACCRATTGGACTATCACTCCTTTGRATAACAAGAAAAACAGTAAAAAACAACATATAAGAACACTCAAGGTGATTGTGGTTCTTATTTGATAAGAAATAAAAGAAGTAAAAGATATAAAACAAATATTGTGTTTTGTGTAAAAAAGGTGTTTTTGATGATGATACCAYTATGAAAGTACAACAATTTTAGTTGTGCACCTTGATAATTCCTACACTAGATCGKTAATAATCTATACATTTAGTTTTCAATACAAGTCTAGTAAACATTTATTGATTTAAGTTAAGACTGGTTCTTATTTTGCGTCAAAGTCCCTTTCCTACTTGATTACAGTACAACCAAGACATTATTAGCTTACCCTGGAGACAGCACTCTTGACAGACCACCGTTAGTCCCGACAAAAACTGACAGATATCCATCTCTACAAAGGAAAATAAAGTAAATAATATTTTGGAAAGGAAAAAGACGTGAAATGTTCACAAACGTAAAGAAAAATGTTCATAAAAGTGAAATATTCACAAAATTCTTACGTATCGTTGACTTCAAGGTCCCAATTCAGATCKCTAGTCGCGAAGGCTCCATAAAGAAGCTGATAAAATTCGACTGCATTGCCTAAAAAAACAACGTTCATATACACCATGACCTYTGATATAGCATGCATAGCGACAGGGGGAGGCGGGGAAGCGAAARGGAGGGAGCTATAGTCATAAGTACTGTTTCTGGCTCATAGGAGAGCAATTTTCTTTTTGTCCCCCAAGCTGCTTTGACGCCACATGCAATGACAATGGTCAACTTGATCATATTTCGGTCAATATYTTTTGCCAGACATTGCATACATGCACGGCTGATCCTGGCCAAACTGGTGTCAACTTACATAATTTTTTTGCTTCAYTTTCATCAGTGAGGTTTGCCAGCATATCATTAGCATCAGCATAGACAGGTTTATAAAGAGGTGTACTGGCCCTCTTCTTAGGTGTGATCCCTGGACAAATATCCCTGTATAACATTCATGAATTAGTACAAAAAAACATTACTATGAAAGCCTTTCAATGACTGTATCAACTGGACTGTCTATCTATCGTGGCTTTACTGCCTAAACTGCTTGACAGACAGCTATTTGAATGCCTTGTTGACTGAATGATTGACAACATGACAGTCCGCTGGCTAACTGATTCATAGACTGACTGGTTGACTGATTGACAACATGACAGTCCGCTGACTAACTGATTCATAGACTGACTGGTTGTCAGAAACTCACCATGGGGACAGCATTACTGTTTCATTTGTGTGCTGTGGTTTGAGGAAATCCAGTACTAGTATAAGAGAAAAACAGTTTCAACGATAGGAGTAAATGATGATGATGATACCAATAATTACCTTCTTTAAATTTTTTTCTACTAGCAAATTTTGTAATATCAGTTTCAAAATACTTTCGACCACGATTTGTCATGGCAATACCAGCGCTGGAAAGACAAAAATTTGAGTTACATAAAAATCATGTTAACAGACTTAGTCAGTGTTCTTTTTTTAACCTTATTGAGACTTTTTCTTTATCACAAACACACTAGTGTATCTCACCTGAAGGATGTTCCATTAATATCATTGAAGAAAAAATTGTATGACCGTTTGGCACTGACTCGTTTCTAAAACAAATTGATATAAATTAAAAGACCATAGAGTTGTTTAACTTCAATAGGGAAAGAATAGTAGATACTCACTTTATCTTTTGAGAGAACTCTCATTTTAAAGGACATTTCTCCAGTTTCTCTATCAATTAGACGCTTTGACAGCTGAATAAACCAATATACAGCAATGTTACAACTATTAGAGTTCTAAAAAATCTACAWCAATGACTTACATTTTCAAGGTCTTGTCTGCTTTCTTCCACATTAACGTCTTCAAGGGACAAGTGTGGTGGATTCTCCTTTGATTAAACAATTAAAGTATCAATACTATAGCAATGGTAACATTACTGACAACAAAAGTAACAACAGTACCAGCACTGAAAACAACAGTAACAGCACTGACAACAACAACAACAACAACAATGCTAACACTGCTAACAAGAGCAACAGAAACATTAACAACAACAGCATCAACAACAACTCTAACACTACTGACAACAGCAACAATAACAACCACAGCATCAACAACAAGGCTAGCACTACTGACAACAGCAACATTAACAACAACAACAACAACAACAACAACAACAACAACAACGCTAACACTACTGAAAACAACAGCAACATTAACAACAGCAGCAGCAGCAACAGCAACAACAACAATAACGGTAACAGCACTGACAGCAACAGCAACAACAACGGTAACAGCACTGACAGCAACAGCAACAACAACGGTAACACTACTGAAAACAACAGCAACATTAACAACAGCAGCAGCAGCAGCAGCAACAACAACAACAACAATAACGGCAACAGCAACAACAACGGTAATAGCACTAACAATAACAATAACCGCATGTTTAAACACAAATAAGAAACAAAAACCATTACAATACAGCTACTTTAACCGGTGCCATGTCACAGACTAATGATGGAACAGTAAATCAGAAACCAGTCCGATGATTTTATTCTACAATGTGAACGGCAGCTTAGGAGGAGGACTGGCAGCGSTTTTTGYAGCTGTAGTTGTTTGCAAAGTGAAGTTCAGCCTCAGTGATCTTCCCTTTGTCTTTTTAACTTATTCATTTTTACTAAATACAAATRTCCTATATTTTTTATGAMAACGTTTTCGCAAGTAGGTGTATGTTAAAATACTAAAGAAGACAGAAAATAGAGAAAACAAGAAAAGACCATATTTTAGAAATAAAAACAGATATCTACAGTCGATAACAACACTCAGACATTCAAGTTAAACTGGCAACGAAACAGCACACARCACACTGGCATATGAAAACAAMTTCAAGACAGTAAGCCCACTGTTGACACAGTTATGCTATAAGGGGACTTACACGTTTTACCGTAGAATCATCGACATCAGTCTGGTGAGATGTTGGGTATAGAAATAGACAGATAGAAGTAAGCAAAGAAAAGAGGTGAAACGTCATTTAGCCAGCCTTTTAAACTACACTAATCGCTAAGAAAGCCAAAAGTTTGTTCATGATGTTTTGACGAAAAAACCCTTAAGTTATCATGACCAACTACRCGAATTTGTAAAACAATTAAACCAGAGCTTCCAGGGAAAGACTGTGGCTTGTAGGGTTTCTTGTAACCGTTGTAACATTAGGGTTTGACCGCTCTGATCTTTTGGTTTTCTTATAGTAAAGTGTTTAGATATGATAATGAAATGATGTGATATGTGGACATGCATTATAATATATGACAGTATTTTATTGGTTCAGATCAAGGTAGTAGGTACGCTATGTGATATACTTACATCGTCCTTCAAGGTGGGATGAATGACAATAAAGCCATTGTTATTGATAGAAAAACCATATCCATCAACGCCAACCTGAACAAAAACACATCAAGTATGATCAACATCATTTCAATAAGGTTATCTATATGAAGATAATTAAAAACCTTGTCTGGAAAAATAATAAAAACTTAGTATAAACAAGAGTTTCATTATTCATAAAGAAAATACAATATAAAAGTAGGTGAAACAAATTTTTTTTTGTAGACTCATTGTACTTTTTACTATAAAATTTAATACGAACAGTAAACTCATCGTTTCGGTGCCATTAGTCACCAATTTCAAGAGTAAAGTATTTTAAKTAGTTCGTAGCCCATTGCGATTCCAAGAACTGTCACCATGGAAACGCAATGGGCTTTGAAAAGAACTTCAGCGTGTTATAATGCTAGAAAGGAAAATTTGACTGTCTCGTGTACGAGATGCATGATTTATTAAAGATCTCAAGCCATCATTAAACATACAATCAGATTCCACTCGCTCAAAAATCTTTCGAACACAATAACAATGTATTCCCTCTCAAACTACAAACTACTAAGAATACTTTACTTTTGAAAATGGTGCCTGATGGCACAGACACGTCGAGTTTACTTGTTGTATTAAATTTTATAGTAAGAATTACTAAGAACAAACAACTCATTGTACTTTAAATAAAATAAACGAGAATTTACAATATGATACCAAAACACGCAAAACATTTACCTTTGCMGCTGGGATTGAGCTCTTGAGTTGTGGTAGTGCCACATCAGTTCCAACCACGCCCAATAACTTATCTTTGTGCTGATGAATGTTAAAAACAAATTTATATATTTTATAAATAATATATAATTTATAAATTTATATATTTTCATGCGTGTTCAATAATAAGGGTGCTTTGACAGTATTTTCATACAAACTACTGGATGCTGGATATGGGCCCACATACAAAATAACTGACATCCAACAATGTTATGGCRTTTTACAGCAATTTTGAATTTACTTAACAACCGGAAATCACTCTCTATGTCAAAACACCTTAAATCATCATAATGATTACAAATTAACATTATCAACTCACATTAGGGTCATACACTGGTGCCACTACAGTAACCATCAGACCTAGTCCCTGAAATTATAAAAAATACCCCAACACATGAAATACAACCAAATAGAGAAAAWCCAGCAGAACCTGAAACAAGATGATGGTGTGGGGCGACTGCATCTAAAGTATACAACCTATGATATRTGAATAGAACCATGAAGAAATAAATAAACACAAATTGGAATATTGTCTGGAGTCAGACATATTTCCAACTGTTTTTTCTTTAATTCTTCTCTATAATAACTTGACATTTAATTGTTTATTCATTTATTTCTGTATTTTACATTAATTTCTTTAGTTTATTCATCCATGTTTTTCCATACTGCCGTGTGATGTCTATAGTTGATGGTAGTATGACCAGGAACATCTCTATGGGAGTGCAATAGTGATGCAATTGTCGTAACTGTTTTACATCTCTCCAGTGTAATAAAGAGTGTATCGAGAGCCTTGCCAGATGTGGAGTATATGCAGTTGACATTTCAAAAGATGRATSAGTACCGAAATCATAGCWCCTGCTTGCTTTTTAATGTATTGGTTCCTTTGATGTTTGACTATTCCTGCACTGTTGTCCAAGCAACTAAATTCCTGGCTTTTACCATTTAAATTGCTGGATTCAAGTCCAAAATTCATTTTGTTTSTGAAGTTTTGATTGTCTCTGACAYTGCCAATCCARAAACCTCACATTTTTTAATTCTCGACTGATGATTACTAAACAGGCCAATCAAATTGAAAAACCTTCCATTTTGTTGTTAAGTCAATGACCATAGAATCTGATGTTGGTTAGTGTCTGCAGTTATTGTTTGCAGAGAAATATCAGTTGCATGCAATTTAGCTTTTAGCAACTTCAATCTTTAAAACATGAATTATACTCCACTGATACATAGACAAAACAGCTACGCCTTGTTACCTATGACTACATAACTACCCTAGTAACCGTTGCCATGACAATGCATAATTATCCATGCCCCATGCATAAATGACATAACAATAAACCATATAGCGCAAATGGTGTGTGCAGAATTATAAATAATAAATATTATAAAATTAGACAAGTTATTAAGTCAAATTTAAATTTACAGCTAGCACTGAACTATGGCATCAATAAAACAAATCAACAATTTTTATTAACTCATGCAGTAATGTTATGATTGATAGGAAAGGTTAGCAAAGAGAAGAATGAATGTTAGAGAATGTTGGAATGGTCGAATGACGCGAAAGTTTTGTAGTGAAGTTTTGGTAGAATTTTAAGCCTCATCAATTTTGACTATGGTTTCAAGTAAACAATACAACACACACAATATCATCCAGCMACTTCTCCAAGACGTYAAGAAGAGAAGGCTGGTAGAATTAGACATAAACTGCAATGACAATATTCAAGAACTAACACTGTTATCGACAGTTAGAACAAGAGGTGTTTAATGAAACCATAGTTGACAAAATTGCAGAGGACTGTCRCACTTGTCACTAACCCCATTATCGAGATATATCGGAGTCCACGACACAGGACGATCGTTGCCTGCTAGTAGGCCCTGAGGCCTACCCATCACACTCAAATACCTCTGGAATAATAACAGCATGCAAGTAAGAAGGGGTCCTAACTCACCAGTTTGTCCATATATAATGGAGTCCAAGTGGGAGTGTTGGAGTGATAACGTTGCAGTGCAAGTGGACGGCTCAGAACATTCAAATAACTCTAATGTGCATAGATAATAAGTGCAGAACATGAATTAGTGAATGCTGCATGACAATGTGACAAGTGAAGACCAGGATCTTCTGAGTACCTGAGTTAAACCAAACAAGGTGAGTATAATGATGGTAGATAT